ATCTTTATAACAGATCTTGTGTTGATGGAAATATTGCGATGTACGAAGTCTGAATGAAATCGGATGTTAAATTCGTGTTTTATGAGCGATGTCCGTCCGTCTGTAAAAATCACTCTAATTCCGAACGAAATTACGTAGATTGCTAAAATTTTACTCAAATATATATTATGTCTGCAGGACTTTTGGCATTGAAAATAGGTATAACACCCATGTAACGGTACCTCCCGATATTCGGTATTTTGATTATTTTAGCAGAAGCTTGCAACCATGGTACAATGATATCAAGGTAGGGCAGAACTACCATATGATTTCAATTTTTTTATTTTCTTGGCTTAATATGTCATCTTTATTTGTTTATGTATGTGTTTTCCTTTCAATAAAAAAAATTGTTCAGAAAATATTCAAATTTGGGTGTTTTCAAAATGTTTATTTCAACGTATGCATCGACAAAATCTAGAGTTTTCGTAGCGAAATATTCCTTCAGAGATATATAGTACATGGTTTTGAAAAGAAGTGTTGACCTTTCATTCAGTTATCGCGTTTTTTCAATTATTTATTCAAAATAAATGCAACAAGTTGTTTGATTTTTTTATTGTTTTGATACTAATTCTGACAGTACAAGCCAAACAGGTAGACCTCTATACTTGCAATTTTTTCAAAGTTGACCTACCTTCTCTTCATTGTACCATGCTTGCAACTAAGTTCGAAATGGATACTACAGCCTAAGACAGAAAATTGTCTGTGCAGGTACACGTCTTCGTAGAGGCCCCAATATAACGGTTCCTCCCGATATTCGGCATTTTGATGATTTTAGCGACATTATTCACCGGATTTTTTTCAAATTTGGTATTTGAAGTTCGAAATGGATACTACAGCCTAAGACAGAAAATTGTCTGTGCAGGTCCACGTATTCGTATAGCCCCCCATATAACGGTACTTCCCGATATTCGGCATTTTGATGATTTTAGCGACATTACTCACCGGAATTGTTTCAAATTTGGTATTTGAAGTCCGTAATGGGTACTACAGCCTAAGACAGGTCCACGTCTTCGTATAGCCCCCATATAACGGTACCTCCTGATATTCGGTATTTTGCTGATTTTAGCGACATTACTCACCGGAATTGTTTCAAATTTGGTATTTGAAGTTCGTAGTGGGTACTACAATCTAAGACAAAAGAAGTGTCTGTACAGGTCCACGTCTTCGTATAGCTCCCATATAACGGCACCTCCCGATATTCGGTATTTTGATGATTTTAGCTACAGTATTCACTGATTTTTTAAGTTTCGCATTTGAATATTGTAATGGCTTATGACAAAAACTACCTATGCCGGTCCATATCGTCGTATAGACCCTAAAATAACATCAACATTCGGTATTTTTAAGATTTTAACAGCATTTTTAACGGATTTTATTGTTTTTGAGAATTGCCAAATTCGTTCCAAATGGTGGAGGGTATTCAAAGTACGGCCCGGCCGAAGTTACAGCTTTTTTACAGGTTTTCTTTAAAAAATGTGGGCAATGTTGTGAGGGACGTACCAGAAGCAGTGGACCGATATTGCCCATCTCCGTACTGGATCTAAGTTTGACAATAATATTACGATGTACCAAGTTTGGATCAAATCGAATACTTTTACCTGCGAGAGTTATCGTACGCACCAAACAGACGGACAACGCTAGAACGGATTTGATCAAAAGAGACCTAGGGTCTAAAACCGTTTTTTCAATAAGGCACATATGGCTGAGGGTATAATGTAATTTATGTATTCTTACCTTCAAAAACCACTTTTATATAGGCCTTGCGTGCCGCTATGAGTTCACACTGCAAGATATAATTCGATTTATTATATTTCAGGAAATATGTGAAATACTCGGTTTGGAGCCACCAACGGAAGAAGGTACAAAGAAAACATTTGTGTATTCATACATCTACCTATGCTGCTATCAAGAGATAAGAGTTTTACCATGGTGGAAGAATATAGGTAGATGCATTAAGGCATTGATATGTCAAAAGTTTTGAAATGTTTTTTCAAATATAAGTATATTTTTATATGTTTTCCCAAACGACACCAATCGGAGGTTGTTATGATATGCATTTTCAAACAATTTTAACGAATTTGAATAACTTTTCAATCAAAAATTTCAATTCCAAATTTTTGACAATTTATTGTCCCATCAGCTGTGTCGATGCGACTACCTGTATTCTTCTACCACGAGTCATGGCTAGGTGTATTAATGTCAAATTATAAATGAAAACGACCGCTGGATTTTATTTCGGCTCTGTAATCCTTTTATCAAATGTCACAAAATATGCCTAGCCATGGAATTAAGCTTTTTGTGTACATAAAGCGCATATGTGACTGGCTTAAGTCATCGGCTGGCTTTTTCGTAGAGGAACAAAGGAGTTTTAGGTTGACTTAGTTCGATTTTGGCCCTAGGCTCCTTTGTTCATTTCCGAAGAAGCCAGCCAGATAAGCGCTTTATGTATTCCCACCTTTAGATATTTTTTTCCCACCTGAAGATAAGTTAAAAGTAGGAAAAGTTAAAAGTATTTTTATGCCGTACGTCGAGTAGTTTGTACTTTTATTTTATTTAAGGGAATATATGTTTTTAAAATAATTTTGTTTTCAGAACTTGTGAAAAAGTGTGGTATGGACGAAGGAGGAGATGAAAAAGTTCATATTTACTTAATGCAAGGCTTTGTAAACGATGAAGTGTGAGTTTAAAACATTCAAAAAAAACTTCATCTGCCATCAGTGGCTATAATTTATGATTGCACCCGAAAATATTTTCAATAATATAACTTTTGCTTTTCAATATTGTTTTTTTTTTTTCAGTACAACAGTTGCATGTGCCTTTTGCTACCCTGAAGATTCTGTATGGAAAGGCAGACAATACTGTTTGAAAGACATGTATATAAAACCGGACTATCGTTACGTAGGTGTTGGGGCGCGAATTGGCGTAGGAATCTGCGAGACAGCCAAGAAACTAAACCGTTCTGCCATTTTTAAATATTCGATGGAAGATTTTTTCCGTGCGAAACTAGGATCAGCAGATTTCATTGATGTCATAAGGGTGTTTAGCCATGCAGAAAAATAATTAGGAAGGTTTAGTCATCCAATCATATGTTAAAATATTAATTTTGCAACATCTCTACAACAATTGGTCTGTTCCAAAACTGCAAGAAAATTAAAGTTTTTTACTTCGACACCCGATTTTCCCTTTATGATATCGAAAAAAAATCCGAAAAAAATCGTATCAGAAAATATATACAGGATAAAATGAAAAAACTGCAACCAACTTCAGACTGCTGTCATTCCTAAACTAAAGAAGCGATAGAAACCCGCGTCGCAGTGGCCGAAAATGGCTCGTGAGCTGAACATATCGCAACATTCCATTTGGAAAATATTAAAAAATGAGCTCGGGGTAAAGCCGTTAAAATTTCAAAAAGTGCAAGAACTTACACCGCAACAGAATGAAAATAGACTCAAAATAATTAGACTCAATAAAATTTAAAAAAAATGTAAAAATTATGGCGTTTGACTTTGTTGCAGTTTTTTTTATCTCATCCTGTACAAATCTACTTATTCTTGAAAAAAAATCAATAAATAAATAAAATATTTTTGACATATAAATGTTCTCAAGCCTTGATGCATCTACCATGGTATTCTCACAAATTAGACATGGAAATATGTTTCCTATGCAGTGCAATTTGACAAGATAAATGACAGAAAATAGGTGTGTCTGGCTACTGTAAAGTTTGTAACAATTGTTGCAAATTGTTACTGAAAGTCAGCGGTTAACACGAAACATCTGCAAAAGAGAGAACAATTTTGACAGCTCTTTCACTGAGAGTTTGCAAATTGCTTCTTGTCAATCACTTGTGACTCTTCTTCTTACCCTTTCGGTGATTTATATTTGGACAAGCAATTTGAGAAGAATCTATATTTTGGAAATCGCAAATGTAAAGGTGAGAATACATAAAACTCCCTTTTGGCTGTCTTAAGTCATCGCCTGGCTTTTTCGGAAAAGAACAAATGAGCGTAAGGTCAAAATCGAACTAAATCAACCTAAAACTCCTTTGTTCATCTACGATGAAGCCAGCCGATGACTTAAGCCAGTCAAAAAAAAAAAAAAGGTTTTATGCACAATCACCCATGGTAGAAAAATATAGGTCGACGCATCGACACAGCTGCTGGGACAACTGTCAAGACAATTTTTTTTGGAATTGGAAATGTTGATTGAAAATTTTTGAAATTTGTAAAAATTGTTGAAAAATGCGCATTATAATAACCTCCGAATGACGTCGTATAAGGAAACATGTAAAAATCTGCTTATATTTGAAATGACATTTAAAATTTTTTGACATATCAATGTTTCCAAGCGTTGATGCCGCTACCTGTATTCTTCTACCATGCACGCACCTTAATTGTTTTTTTCGGCTCATTTTTAATTTCTGATTGCTGGCAAATTCCCAGTTTTCTTGCAAAAGAGAATAAAACTTCTTAGCTCTCTCTCTCTCTCTCTCTCTCTCTCTGAAAGACGTTACTGGACAATTCCTACAGGAAAAGTAACCAGACACACCAAATGCTGGGATGGAATTGCTCATTTGAAATGACGTTACCTCCTTAATTCTATTATATTTTTAATATTTTCTTGGTAACAATAGGTCTGTTTGACAAATTGATAATTTTCGCAGAGTAAATTTTCTCTGTAAAATATCAGTATTTCCCTCAGCATTTTTCGGTAATTCACCTTGACTCATTTAACTTTATTCAAAAACTGAATCCCATCTCTGGATTTGTAAATAAACATTTTGAAAATGAGAAACTGCCAAACGTATCAATTTGAAAAAAAAATGCAAATAAAATTATTGACGTTACCTATTTAATTCCACCAGGTTTTTTAATGTTAATCGCTTCAATAACATGCCACCAATAAAACAAAATTTTTTTCTAAATGCATTATTTTTATTAAAATTATTTATAAAAACAAGAACTGTAACCAAAAGCAAAAATAAAAAATAAATTAAAAAAAAAATATTATTTGTTTTCCAACTCCTTTGACAGGGTATCCAATTGTTCTTCGTGCAAACGGTAAAGATGCCACTGTTCAATTTCCGTCAGATCGGATGCTCCCAATTTTCGATAGAATTTCGAAGCAGGATTCCATGATAGAACATGAAAATCTACTCTTTTGCAGTTAAATTCCTTGGCCTTATTGGCCACTTCTCGGAAAATACGCGCACCAGCTCCAATACCTCGATAGGCGGGTTTAACATAAATATCTTCGAGGAAATAGAATCTACCTTTCCATGTGGAATAAGCAAAGAAGCAAATGGCATAACCAATTGTTGTACTGAAAAATAAAAGAAAAATGAAAGGGGTTAGACGGAAAACATCTCATCTGAGGTTCATCTCAAAATGAGGTTCCTCGCTTCATTTAATTTTACCATTGACAAAAATGAAAATAGAAAATATTATTTCTTTTGAACTCACACTTTATCGCTTTCCTTTAAATCCAATACATAAATGTGACAGCATTCTTGTCCTCCATCTAGACCGGAATCTCTGGCAAGATCTGAAAACATGTTGTAAATTATTACTGGAAATACATACACACACATATATATCGATTTCTATTTTTTATACCTTGTTCCGTCAGTTCGGGTCCATCACTCATATTTTCGAAATCGGCCAATTCCTAAAATCACAACACAAAAAGAGAATTAGGTCCATCTGCCTGTAAATAGTCGGTAAAGACCTGCCAGCGAACAGATGAGCGCGAAGTGTGCATTTTTTAAATATAAACAAATAAAAAATCAGCTAAGTTCGGTCGGGCCGAACTTTGGATACCCTCCACCATGTGAAATGATTTTGGCAATCCGTTAAAAATTCTGTTAAAATCTTAAAAAAAAAAACCGAATGTAGCCGTTATATTAGGGCCTATACGACGACGTGGACCTGCATAGGCAACTTTTGTCATAAACCATTGCAATATTTAAATGCGAAACTCGAATAAAAAAATTCGGTGAATAATATAGCTAAAATCATCAAAATTCCGAATATAGGGAGGTACCGTTATATTGGGGCTATACGAGGACGTGAACATATCCATTACGATTTTCAAACACCAAATTTGAAACAATTCCGGTGAATAATGTCGCTAAAATCATCAAAATACTGAATATCGGGGGGTACCGGGGCTATATGAACCCGTGGACCTGCACAGACAATTTTCTGTCGTAGGCTGTAGCATCTGTTAAGAACTTCAAATACCAAATTTGAAACAATTCCGGTGAATAATGTCGCTAAAATCATCAAAATACCGAATATCAGGGGGTACCTTTATATGGTGGCTATACGAAGACGTGGACCTGCACAGACAATTTTCTGTCCTAGGCTGTAGTATCCATTACGAACTTCAAACACCAAATTTGAAACATTTCCGGTGAATAATGTCGCTAAAATCACCAAAATACCGAATATCGTGAGGTACCGTTATATAGGGGCTATGCCAAAACGTGGACCTACATCAGCCATTTTCAATACCAAATATCCTGCAGACATAATACACATTTGAGTAAAATTTTATCACCCTACTTCATTTCGTTCGGAAGCTAGAGTGATTTCCACAGACGGATAGAGGGGCGGACATCGCTAAATCGACATAGAATTTTATGCTGACCAAGAATATATATATATATATATATATATATATATATATATATATATATATATATATATATATACACTTTGTGGGGTCTAAAATGTATATTTCGAGGTGTTACAAACGGAATGGCAAACTTAATATACCCTCAATACTATGGTGGAGGGTATAAAAATCGGCTATCATAGTAGACATTTTCAAGTTTTTGCAATACTAGAACATATCAATGTTTTCAAATTGCTTGACCAAATTATTTGAAAATGGAGGAGGAGTAACAGTAAAGTAGACCAGAAGAAGTATGATCAGATCATTGCAAACTCATAGTAAAATCCCTGTCAAAATTTCTCTCTAGAATCGCAGAACTATGGCGTTGATAGACAACATCTAGTAAACAATTTGCGAAAATTGTTACCCATTTTTAAGGTAATCAGACAGACCTATTATTGTTTGCAGCGTAAACACATGGCGGCGCTCAGCTGATGCTGGGGACTCATTGCTGTTAATTTATTTTTTATTGTTTTCGTCTTTTGTGGTGGCATTATTGACTCCCTCCTCCTTGCTCTCTCACTCTCATTTTTTTCTAATGAGAATATAATTCTCTACATTTCCTCACCTGTATCATTTCCATAACAACTTTAAGATCTTTTTTCTCAGCTTTACGAAACACTAAATCTTTGTTTTCTGCCATTGTGCTATAGGATTGCGGTAACTTTCCGGATCGATTTTTTTGCAAGTCAAACTAATTGGTGTGTTGCAGGTGTTGTTCAGATGTATGTCCAGTCCACTAATGGAAACTTACTGAATGGATTGTTTGCTTTAACGGCGGCGTCTGTGCGTTTAGTCAATAGTCAATGTTTTGATCTAATCTTTCGCACGAGGGTGTGTGAGTGCTTTGAGTTGTTTTTTTTTTTCTTTTGTTATCAAATCCGAACATTAACCCTTGTGTGACTCTGTGGGAACAGTGTGTGTGTTTGTTTGAAGGAAGAATGGTAAAGCTTTCTTCGAATTTGGGAGAAACAAATATATTTCGTAAAGAAAATTAAGGTCCAAGTACATAAGAACCTCAAAGCCAGGATTACAGAGCCGCACTAAAATCCTGCCGTCGTTTTCCAATATAATTTGACATTAATATACCTAGCCATGACTTCAAGTAAAGAAGCGACTTGATCGAAACCCGCGTCGCAGTGGCCGAAAAATGGCTTGTGAGCTGAACATATCGCAATATTCCATTCGGCAAATATTGGAAAATGAGCTCGGGGTAAAGCCATTGAAATTTCAAAAAAGTGCAAGAACTTACACCGCAACAGAAAGAAAATAGACTCAAAAGAGCTAAAGAGTTGCCTCGCTTGGCCGAAAGTGGTAAACTACTGAATTTGGTTTTCTCCGATGAGAAAACATTCGTTGTCCAGCAGTTTGTAAACAAACAAAATGATCGTGTTTACTTTTGGTAAAGGGGTCAGCTGAAAATATGCACCTTCGATTGGCCACCAGAACTCAAGCACCGGCCATAGTGATGGTGTGGGCCGCCAAAACAGCCGATAGTCGTTCTCCGCTCGTATTAATCGACCGTGGCAATAGAATAAATGCCAAATATTATCGGGAAAATATTCTCAAGGTTGTATTAAAGCCTTGGCCACGCAAACATTTTGGTCGCAGATCTTGGACATTCCAACAGGACTCAGCGAAAATATTCTGGAGAGTACATTAAACCTTGGGAACGCAAACATTTTGGCCGCAGACCTTGGACATTCCAACAGGACTCAGCACCATTGCACTCAGCACACGTCACCCAAGAATAGTTGCAAAATGAAGTTCCTCGCTTCATTTCCAGCGCACAATGACCACCAAAATCTCCGGATACCCATTTGTTGGACTATTGTATCTGAAGTATTTTGAAAAGCAAGGTTGGCACTAAAAAATACTAAAGTGTCGATCACCTCAAGCAAGCGCTTCACCGGGAATGGGTCAAAATACCGCAGAGCAACATTCGGGCAGCGTGTGACGGTTTCATTGGCCATTTGAAGGCCATATTTCATGGCAAAGGTGACAAATTCGAATAACTCTAAACTTATTCTAAAATTTGATGCTATTTCCGACATTTTTTTGTTTTCATTCAATAAAATTTAAAACAAATTGTCAAAAATTATGGTATTTGACTTTGTTGCAGTTTTTTTTCATCTCACCCTGTATATTCTTGATCAGCATAAAATTCTAAGTCGATTTAGCCATGTCCGTCCGTCTACCCGTCTTTCCGGCTATGGAAATCACTCTAACTTTCAAACGAATTGAAGGAGATTGATAAAATTATACTCAAATGTATGTTATGTCTGCAGGACTTTTGCTATTGCAGGTCCACGTTTTGGTATAGCCCCCATATAACGGAACCTCCCGATATTCGGTATTTTAATGATTTTAATGACATTATTCATCGGAATTGTTTCAAATTTGGTATTTGAAGTTCGTAATGGATACTACAGCCTATAACAGAAAATTGTCTGCACAGGTCCACGTCTTCGTATAGTCCCCATATACGGGTACCTTCCGATATTCGGTATTTTGATGATTTTAGCGACATTATTTACCGGAGATGTTTCAAATTTGGTCTTTAAAGTTCGTAATTGATACTCCAGCCTGAGAAAGAAAATTGTCTGTACAGGTCCACGTCTTCGTATAGCCCCCAAATAACGTTACCTCCCGATATTCGGTATTTTAATGATTTTAGCGACATTATTCATCGGAATTGTTTCAAATTTGGTATTTGAAGTTCGTAATGGATACTACAGCCTAAGACAGAAAATTGTCTGTGCAGGTCCACGTCTTCGTATAGCCCCCATATACGGGTACCTTCATTATTACCGATTTTTTTAAGTTTCGCATTTGAATGTTGTAGTGGCTTATGACAAATGTTACCTATGCAGGTCCATGTCGTCGTATAGACCCTAATATGACAGTCACATTCGGTATTTTTAAGATTTTAACAGAATTTTTAAGGGCTTTTTTTGTTTTTGACAATTGCCAAATTCGTCCCAAATGGTGGAGGGTATTCAAAGTTCGGCCCGGTCGAACTTACAGCTTTTTTACTTGTTTAATTTGACTATGGAATAACTCCTTTGGGATTTCTATTATGGTTTCAGAGTCCATCTGGAAAGGACTGTTGCTGAGGCCCCGCTTGTTTATGTGTAGGGTATGGGGAAAAGAAGAGAATGTTGAAACATTGAGTTTCATGACATGACAACAAAATACGCCCGTAAGGCCTTATCTTGTAATGGCAGCAATGAGTTTAAGAGCGATAAGAAATTATTATTATTTTTTTGTTTTTTAAGTGACTACTTGTAGATTTTTTTTAATAAAATAACAAAAGCAACAACCACGACAGCAACTAAATTGAAACTTAAAGAAAGAACAAGTACAACAACAACAAAAAAGTCACATAATAATTGTGGTTCAACCGAACAAACAGAGATAAGGAGTGACATTAAAATCTTTCAACTTGCTCACCCTTTCCAAGTGGCCGGGTGGACATGGCTCGACGTTATTTGAGGGCGACCAGACTTAAAAAAAAATAAAATAGCTGAGGTTGCCCATAGACGTATAGCGCGTTTATATGAATGAAGTTTAAGCCATTTGTTTTATTTGTTTATTAGTGGCATGGTAGAAGAATACAGGTAGAAGCATCAACGCTTGGAAGTATTGAAACGTCAAAATTTTGTAAATCTTTCTTCAAAACAAATAAATAGAATTGTGTAAGTTTTTCTACAAATTTGAATTTTTTACAAATTTGAACAATTTTTCATTCAAAAATTTCAATTCCAAAATTTCTTTGACAGTTCATTGTTCCAGCAGCTGTGTCCATGTAACTACGTGTATTCTTCTACCATGATTATTGTATTCAGGGTTCCACAGTAGCTCAGGAGGGACAAAGGAGCTTGGCGTTTATTGCTCGCCCATCCTCATTATCCCTATAAAAGGCTCCAAAAATTCCACACACACCACTTACCTGATTGTAACCTGCCGCCGACCAATAATACCAGATTGTAATAACCGTATTCCAAGAAAACGAACGAAAAATCGCTCTGGTGATCTCTTAGTGGCGTTGCCGGTTGGTTCTTGTCACATGCAGACTTTTTCGGTTGAACAAAAAAAATTATGCCTGACTTCACACAAAATCAAAAAAAGTGGCTAAAAGGAAGCCTGAAACATGTCGAAGGAAAAATGATAGAAACGATCACCTAAAATAAAATTGAATCCCAAAGTCATGTATCGCCACAGAAACAGCACTCCTAGAGGCTGACCAACCAGGAGAACACTTTTTCCACAGAGAACACTTCTTGCCATTTGACCCTTAACTTAACACTTTTATTTCATTACCACCACCCTTTTAATAGGCCTTTAAGCCATTACATTTTTATTTAAACAATTTTAAAGTGGGTAAGGCCGTTATATGGGGTCCATACAAAAACGGGAACCTCCATAGGCAATTTTATACTTTACAACTACTGTGGTGCTTACCCTTGAATACGAAATTTGGAAAAAATATTTCGTGGGAAAATGTGACTGGGATTATCAAAATACCAATTATCGGTGGGTACCGTTATATGGTGGCTATAAGAAAACATAGACCTAGATATTCAATGTTCCGCCACCGGAGCTAGACAAATATGTGGAAAATGTGGTGAAGATCATAAAAATATATGGGGGCTATACGTAAACATGGACTTATACATACAATGTTCCGTTGTCGGAGCTAGAGCATATTGTGAACTATATATACCACTTTTTAGACAAATCCTCGGAAAAACGTAGCGAAAATCATCAAAGTACCGATTATCGGAAGATACTGTTATATGGTGACTATAGGAAAACATGGGCCTAGATATTCAATGTTCTGCCACCGGAGCTGGAACACATTATGACCTACAAATACAAACTTTTAGACCGTGGAAAAATTTGGCAAACATCATCTATATTCCGAATTTCGGGAGGTACAGTTATATCACCCGATATTCAATGTTCCCCTACTGGAGCTAGAACTCATTATGACCTACAAATTCCAATTTGTAGATACATCCGTAAAAAAATTTGGCAAAAATCATCAAAATACCGAATATCGGAAGGTACCGTTATATGAGGGATACACGAAAACTTAGACCTAGACATACAAGGTTCCGTCACCGGATATTCAATGTTCTACCACCGGAGCTAGAATCCATTATGGCCTACAAATTCCAATTTGTAGATAAATCCGTAGAAAATTTTGGCAAAACTCATCAAAATACCGAATATCAGGAGGTACCGTTATGTGGGGGCTATACGAAAACGTGGACCGATAAATCTCATTTTCAATACCAACAATCCTAGACACAATACAAATTTTTGTGCTAAATTTTGAAGCCCTTCATCAAATAATGTGGACTGTATCAGACAGACGGATAGACAGATCGACATAGAAATCTATGCTGATCATGAATATATACAGGGTGAAATAAAAAACTACAACAAAGTCAAACGCCATAAGTTTTACATTTTTTTTAAATTTTATTGAATTAAAGCCGAAAATGTCGGAAATAGCATAAAATTTTAGAATAAGTTTAGAATTGTTCGAATTGGTCACCTTTGACACGAATTATGGCCTTCAAAGGGCCAAAGAAATCGTCACAAGCTGCCCGAATGTTGCTCTGCGGCATTTTGATTCATTCCCGGCGAAGCCCTTGCTTGAGGTGATCGACACTTTGGTATTTTTTAGTGCCAACCTCGCTTTCTAAAATACTCCAGACATAATAGTCCAATGGATTGGTATCCGGAAATTTTGGTGGCCATTGTGCGCTGGAAATGAAGCGAGGAACCTCATTTTGTAACCATTCTTGGGTGGCGCGTGCTGAGTGCGATGCTGAGTGAGTCTTGTTGGAATGTCCAAGG